ACGGATCGAAAGTCTATGGAAAACCTCTTTTTATTCTTGAAATTTTCGTATTTGTATTCCAGATCGTTAAGAGGGTTGAAACGAGATTGGAAATGCATTTGGAAATTGTAAGCAGTTTTTCAAGATGACCTTCATGAGCAAGGCCAATCCCGTGTAGCAATCTAATCCCAAAGTACATTGACAAATACCATACCCGCTCTTGCAAAGCCCTTTCAAATTGAACTCGTACTAAGCTCAATGGAGTTGCGCCGGATGGCACGCCATTTGCCGAAGACTAAAACTGTCGCGGAAACGACGAGAGAAAAGAAAAGGCAAAGCGTCAGCGTAACAGTGTGTAGTAGGTTGTTAGGGTGGACTGTCGTCGATCGCGCACCCCCTACCATCACCATCACCGCCACCACCACCACCGCTTCGGCGACGGTATATCAGCGTGGTACCAGGTGAGACGACCTTCCTACCAGTAGGCGCCTGGCAGGCACGATGTCGATGATGAAAAAGAACATCGGCCATCGTCATCCTACCTTCTCCGACGTTGACGATCGCTTAGTGATAGTGATGTGCCGACGTTGTGACCGATGAGGGGGAGCGGGTACTCTAATTCCCATTTATCTTAAAACGAAGGGAGGGGGATGGGATAGGGTGATGTGCGGAAATGTTTAGAAGTGATAGGTGCAAAACTTAGGAAGGCGAGAACTCGTCCCCATGCGGACGTTATCATTGACGCACAAGCCGATGATTATCAGTGATTTTCAACAAGTTCTATAGCGCAATAAGGGCTTAATCCGATTACATGCTCGTTTCCAGCAAGTTTTAGATGAATGGGAATTAGAGTCCAATAGAAAAATTAGGAGATCCAGGAGCTAGCGATAGCACCGCAGCACAACATTAGAAATTTTGAAAAGAAAAGAAAAAAGAAAAACTTCATAGAAATTCGAAGACAAAACAAAACTCGCGCTATTTTAAGGTTTGAACGATAAGGTTCCGCTTGCGCTAAATTAAAACAACTACGAATGCAGAAAAGTGGGCAAACACGGGGCCCGATAGAACCTGAGCGCGTCTAGACGCTTGGTCGCCGTGTCGAGCGCCCGGAACCGCTTAGTCGCCTCGTAAACAACGCAGTAAACAACTTTCGAGACAACCGCAACATCGCGCGATGGATGGCTGCGAATGAGTGTGCGTGTGTATGTGCTGCTGACACATACTAGCACCGAAATGTTCGGAGTTCTGAATCGAAGATGAAGTCGGAGGCGTTGAGTCGGAGATGAGGAGCGGAGGTGTCATGAACGGCATTCGGAGACGGCGTTTGACGTTGGCAATGATCGGAAGATGTGCATGTCCAAGAAGACAATGGCGTAAAGGTTAAAGATTTGCCCAGGGTAAAATTGAGGACCTGTGAATGGTCAAGAACCAGCTTCGAGGGGACAAGGTTCTAAGGTGTCACCTTGTGGAAGTCTACCGGTAAACATCTCCTTTGCTTGCAAAAGCACTGGAAAAGCGCTCCATATAGTAGACCTTGAACTTACCCGATCTAACCGAGCCTAACTTCAACGATCCCCCATCGAGACGAAATGAAGGAAAAAACGTAGGAAAAAACGGAACAAAACCCGTCTGCAACAGACAGCTCTTCCTCCCTTTGCAGCATTTTTTTCTTAATCGACGAGGTACTTTCATTCCCGCGACAATTCGAAAAAACTTCTCATGAAACGGGGTTTGATGAATGACATTGCTGCAAAAGTTCCGGGAAATCCAATCTTCATTGAGTATGAAAAAATACAGTA